ATGCATCTTTCCAACGTGTGACAGGAAGTGAATGTTCAGAAATTTATGTATGTCCTGACCTCAGATAAGCAGTCTGCCGAGCCAGACACAGCCATCACTGGGGAGGGGGAGCTGACACAATTTCTCCTTGGTCGAGCTCAATAAGAAATGTGCAAGGGATTTGTTTACACCTTACGGACACAGTGGCCATGAGAGGAAAAGTTATCCAGTTTAGTGTGAAAATTGGCTGGAGGTAAAAATGGTTCTTTAATTAGCTTCACAAGCGTTGGAATGAAAAAAAAATGTTATTAAGCAATTAATGAAAGTAGAAAAATAATCTAGTTTCATTTCCTGGGGCAGATTGAGATGGAACGGACGAAGCTGGCTTTGCCCAGTCTCCAGCAGGCAGCTGTTTGACTGATACGCATGAAGCAATTGGCAACGGATAAGACAACTGGCACCCATGCAATCTAGAATAGATTTACTTAACCAAAGGTTTAAAATATTCTTTTGGGGGATGCAAGGAGTAATTGATCGCCCGTTGTTAGAGACAACTTGATAGGTCTTCAATGCAGCCTTAGAGGCCCAACGCCCAATTATGAACTGCAAGCCTTTTTTTGTCATCTGTTTCCTGGCATTACAATCGTGCGGTGTGGTGAAAATTAAACCGGTTGTTTAATCTGGAATGCCCACGTGCACAGGTATTGTTTGTAGACGGAAAGTGTCGGGCATGACAAACACGAGACGGCGGTGCAGCGGCCACAGCCTCGGAGTAATTACTCGTCCCAAGCAGCATTAATATTGAATCGAAATCGTAATTTTTAACAAGCGCGTCCAGTTATTAATTCATAGCCAAGCATTTACTGCTCACTCTTTTGAAACGCTGAAACAGGTTTAATTGGGTTTATGTGGTTACGAGTTATTTTAACCTCACAAAAAATACGGGGGCGGTGGTGGTGGTGGGGGGAATTTCGTCGCTTGTCCGTTGTACGCTCAACCGTGGCGGGCCACGTTGAAAAGCCAAAAGTGGAATGGGCCGCAAATGACGCACGGGTTCGTGACAAAAAAAAAATACACGAAGCAAGAAAAAAAGGACCAGCAGGTATTTGTAGGGAAGTGGAAAGGAACAAAACAGTGCCGACTTTAGCACTAAACCATAATAATCCTTTAGTTGCCTAAGGCTCGGAATACGGCTGAACATTAAAATTGAACATTAGCATTACAGCTGGATGGCGCTGTGGTTAGGGTGCTTGACTCAACAATCACGAGATCGCGGGATTCAAATTCCAGTCGGAGGATCGACTCAGCGTTTCATCTCTCCAGGGTTTGACAAATTGAGTAGCACTTAGCGGCAAGTCAGCAATGGTGGCTCTGTGGGTAGACCGATTATCGCCTTGAAAAATGTGGAATTTCCACAACAGGCTCTGGCAATGAATGAATGTGTGCCCTGCTCCAGTGTTACACTTTCTTGAATCATTCGCCCAGCGGTTCTCAGCCCATGGGACCAGGGGGGGCACGAGAGACTTTAGGGCGGGGGGGGGGGGGGGGTCTATAGGCTTCGGCATGGATACCGTGCAGGAGAAGTGTTGAATGTGCGCAGGGAATGTCAGCAGCACGGCATCGCGGTGTGACGAAACACGAATACACGGCATGAAACAAGTGTGGTGCTTGTTCGTATGTTGATTTTCTTTCCCACCGTACGTAGCCAACCGTGCTGATCGGATGTGCGGGGCTTGGACGGAAGGGGGGGGGGGGCACGTGGTCTTGACAGGGGGGCCACCAAACGAAAGATGTTGAGAACCGTTGCATCAAACTGCACCTATACAAGGAGATTTTTTTTTCAAAACAACTGAGCAAAATAGGAAATAAAGTTGATTTGAACTGGCTCATTACGCTTGCAAGTTTCGAATGAGCAATCGTCCTTGTGCTGCGATCGAAACATCGTGATTTTTTTATTATATTGTTTTTCTACCTACGTGACTTTACAGAAAGATACAAAGAGTATGAATTCCTGCAGTCACGAAAGCTTTAAGTCAAGATTAAATATGTATTTACTTGATGTTTATTATCACCAATTTTTATTTTCACGTATTTAATAGTTTATTTGCGTATTTATTTAAGGTAATTAGTTTCAAAGATTAGTTTTCGTTGGCCAATATCATTGCCTCTTCACGAGCATCTCCGGAACGTATCCCTCGCGAATAACGAGGGACAACTCGACACGTGCGTGTCACGTCACAAACAAAGTGTTGCGTAACACACCGTGTTTGACATCACCAACTTAGTTGCTTCTGTTTTTCAACAAAGTTGCACATCACTGAGCCGCTGTATTCAATCACGGACCCGTGTATTTAATTATTCATAAAGCGTTGGCTTTGAAGGCCCGAACCCCAACCCTCCCCTCTCGCTTGGACAACTGGCCCTTGGAGCCTAGCAGGGGATTGAGACAAGAAAAGGCACCTGCTTGGCCTATGTATATATCTATAAAAATCCTGACATTTAAGACGAGCTGTGATATTTACTTAATCGCCCCACTGCACCTGATCTCGTCAGATCACAGAAGCGAAGCGGTATTGAGTCTGGATAGTGCTCGGATGGGCGACCGCCATGTTGACGGCAGGTGCAGTCGGTGTTGTAGGTGTAGTCGGTATTGTAGGTGTAGTTGGTGTTGTAGGTGTAGTTGGTGTTGTAGGTGTAGTCGGTATTGTAGGTGTAGTTGGTGTTGTAGGTGTAGTTGGTGTTGTAGGTGTAGTAGGTGTTGTAGGTGGTTGGTGTTGTAGGTGTAGTTGGTGTTGTAGGTGTAGTAGGTGTTGTAGGTGTAGTTGGTGTTGTAGGTGTAGTTGGTGTTGTAGGTGTAGTTGGTGTTGTAGGTGTAGACGGTATTGTAGGTGTAGTTGGTGTTGTAGGTGTAGACGGTATTGTAGGTGTAGTAGGTGTTGTAGGTGTAGTTGGTGTTGTAGGTGTAGTTGGTGTTGTAGGTGTAGTAGGTGTTGTAGGTGTAGTTGGTGTTGTAGGTGTAGTAGGTGTAGTTGGTGTTGTAGGTGTAGTTGGTGTTGTAGGTGTTGTAGGTGTAGTCGGTATTGTAGGTGTAGTAGGTGTTGTAGGTGTAGTTGGTGTTGTAGGTGTAGTAGGTGTAGTGGGTGTTGTCGGCAGTAGAGGGGAGAGCAGCAGCAATGCAGAGTGTTGTCCAGCACTCACTCACACCTCCACCAACTCGCAATGGCAGACGTGAAGTATGGTCAAATATGAATGTTCAGATGTTTTCGACCAAATAAATGCGCGTTTACATGTGCCAGATGGAGCAACACTCCATCCCATACAGGGGGAGAAACACTCCTTCCCATACAGGGGGAGCAAAACACTCCTTCCCATACAGGGGGAGCAAAACACTTAATCCCATACAGATGGAACAACACTCTATCCCATACAGGGGGAGCAAAACACTCCATCCCATACAGGTGAGAAAAACACTCCATCCCATACAGATGGAACACTCCATCCCATACAGATGGAACGACACTCCATCCCATAGAGACGAAACGGAGTCCACATTTGCTGCACCGACTGTCAGGACATGACACACACCTGGGTGCCTCGCCAATCTTGTCGACAGTCAACAGGAATTGTGTTTGTGGTCTCTTCTACGTTGCTCCCTTTGTTGTTGTGTCTCTCTCATTCTTTCGTTGCGTGCTTTGGAGATGTTTTTCTTCTTCTTTCAAATTCTTTATCAGAGTCTGTTTGTATCCATCCGTGCATCATGGCAGGTAATGAGTACCGATAAGACGAGCAGCTCTTCTCCAGGCACTGATGGCATGTTGCTTTTCATGATCACATTTCTAAAAGCACTCCAAACTCTGTTGTCGCTTGCCTCTTCATTTCATCGCTTTGATCATGTCCGCACATTTGACAATCGCCCGGGATATTCATATTCCTGCTGCTCTTTTCCGATTGTGTCCCTTCAATTGACACATTCGGTTGTTTAGTGAACTTTCTGTTACCTGCCGTTTGTTTTTGGCTCGCATTGCTTCAGCAGCACCAGGAGCCGTGGCTCTCTAAATCACACACTGTTTCATCATCGCACGTTACAATTAACGACGGTGTCGTCAGCGAATCTTAGAGGGGTCACATCTCAAATGTATATTTCTCGTTTTTTTTCTTTCAAAATTACATTTTCTCCCGACAAACAATTGTCTCGCGTGTTCAACAAACAATATCAAAATGCTTTCAAACTATAGCCAAATGCACCATAACACTCAACCACACTCGCCAACCAAACCGCCACAACCATAGCCCTATTAACACTCGACCCCAACTCCAATGAAGCACGGGCTTTACCCCGTGTGTGTGCTGTTTCTCCTTTGATGTTGGACTTTGCAGGATAAACGCTGAGATTTATAAGGCCACGGGGTGACCTATAAGGTGTGAATTGGTCTGTAATAAGTTAGGGCACTGATATGGGGTTGACAGGTATGGGACAATGAACTAAACACGCAAAAAGCCTTCTCAAGAAAAGCGTGAGCACGAACCCAAACAAACTAAGCCGAGTAGAGCGATAGCTCCGCAGCCATCCTCACCCACCCGAGCCACGCAGACACAATCCCGACCCCGTAATGTTAACAAACCGGCCCAACATCCGCCAACGAGGGCCCAGACATCGCCCGCAACCACCACCTCTCCCGCTCGCTGCGATTACAACTCCCGGCTCACTCCTCACCACTGCCGATGTCTCGCGCCGCCGCTTGCCCAGGGTTTATTGAACTGCGCACAGCGTGGGAGTCGCTTTGCCCTCCTTCTCAAAGCGCTGGCGGATGCGTCGCCTTCCATTTTGTGAGTAAACATTCGGGCTGCCGCGGGGAGAGCCGGCAGCTGAAGGCTGCAGCCCCGGCAGCGTCCCGTGTAGCGCTCCCTCCATCCATTACCACCACTACCCCACCCCCCGCTCTCGCTCTCTCTCTCCGCATCCTCCTCCTACTCCATGCTCCCCTCTCTCCCCTTCTCATCCCAGCAGTGGCGCTGCCGCAGCGCAGACTCAACAAGATCAATAGCCCGGGCTGCGCAAAAAACGCGGAGCCGGAGCCCGTGCGGCCGGAGCGGACGGTCCAAACAATAGGATTGGCGCGATCACCGGCACTCACTCCGGCGACAGACTCTGCCCCGTGTCAACGGCCCTTGAGTATCGCGGCTCAGGAGCCGCACGCTGAAGAGAGCTTCGTGGAACGCGAGTCTCGTCGCTCGGGACGGAGGAGTTTTCGCGGAGCGAATCCGCGCCGCGGTGGTCCGCCGCGGGCTTTTGCGCCGCCCCCGCGTGCAATCATTCTCAAGAAATGCGAGCAATTTGGCTGTCATTCGCGAAGAGCGGTGCTTGCGCGCGTTCGCCAAACCATCATCGGGGCTCCCGGCCGGCGCGTTCCCAGGGCAGGCCACCGCCACCGTCGCCGTCGCGGCTTCTCGCAGCCGAGCGGGGGCCGCGCACAGCCGCGGAGAGAACGGCGACCGCCGCCGCCACAGCAGCAGAAGCAGCGGCGGCTCCATCGTGAAGCGCTGCGGCGCTGCCGGCTGCCCGCAGCCGCTGGGATTGCGGACCGCCGAGCTGATCCGTGCCACGCCGCTGCCGAACAGCCGAGGAGGAGGAGGAGGGGACACAACACGAGAGAAGCCACGGGGGTCCACCTCCCCCCTCCCCCCCATCATCACACCCCCCCTCCCTCTCTCCCTGCTTCTTTCTCTAAAGATCGGCCAGTCGAGAAAGAAGCTGTGTACCCACCAAACCTACCTAGATACCCGTCCACCCCCCGGCGTCCTTATTTCCTTGCGTCCACCAGCCCACCATCCTCTCGCCGTGAGAGTGACGCTCGTGGAAGAAGACGTCCCCGCATTCTCGACAGCAGCGCTTGCCAGGTAAGCGCCATTCACATCTCCAGCAAACATCGCCTCTTTTGTCTGTGACCTCCTCATCATCATCATCATCCTGCTGCTACTCCTGGCTTGGATGCCCGCGGGGTTCCACGTCGTTTGTGTGCGTGTCCCGGGGAAGAATCGACGATAATCCTGGGACTCAAAGCCGTATGCCCTTCTCCCCCGGTGTGCTACAGGATTCCCATTCTCCCGTGTGCCTGGTTCAAGCGAGCAGGACACGGCATCAAGTTTGGCCGTAAATGCGTTTTCTGATGTCATATATATTTTTAAATCCTCAATCGCTTCTTTTTTTGCGGATAATTCGATGCGGCGCTCCAGCGCGGTTGCGTGGAGGTTGCTCGATGGAGACGGGGGGAGGCGGTGTTTGTTTAACGTTAATGTTTGTAATGTAAGTGTATTTACAAGTTAATAATTCCACAACTGTGTTGCGGTAAAATCCGTCCTCTCTCTCGCACGCGTAGCGTTTTCTTTCACAATTTTCGGTGAAATCGGGAGGCGTGTGAAGCTGTTGGCACGTTCGTTTACGATAATTGTCTTTTTTTTAATGACAAATATTTTTTGTGTTTAATTCCTATTTTGTTACTTTCGCGAATTTACGAAGATAAGAGCGTGAGACGATTTTGGCATTTTAATGAATTCGGCATTTTAAACGTCGGATGGCGACGGCATTTTGAGGGGGGGAAGCCACCATCTAACAGTGGATTGACCACAGCTCGTTATTTATGACGCATATTTTAATCGTGTTAACATAAAAAAGATTCATCTTGACTCCAAACATGTTTGGGTATCTCAAAAACCCCGTTTACTGAAAAGACGAACCACACGTCCCAGTCCGCTGGTTCGCATGATCGCCTTTTAAAAACCCCATTCATAATCGTTGACATTTGACGCCCTCCTAATCGCTACTTAAAATCCTATTCGAGGCATTTCCATACCTCAATGATATTTGTAGGATATTGAGAATTGCACGTATATATACATACATATAGTTACATATACATCTTTAAAATTTTAGTGGATCGACGCAACCTGTTTTCAGGAATTCTTACACAGCAAAATTAGAAATTGTTTTTTTTCCTCGAAGAACATTTTTATTAGGCAAATATCTGTAACGCCAACCGCACACGATTGTGTACACACATGGACTGCATGCGAGTGTGGGCGGGTGTCTGTGCGTGTGTGAAATATCCCGAATACAACTACAATTCTCACGCCAAGACGGAGAAAGCAAAGCCCGTTGTGAGCGATGTTCGGGGGATGCCGTGTGCGCGTATCCGCCGAGCGCGGTCGTGACATGGCGCGTGGCGCTCTGGGGATGTTGTAGTAACGTCTCTGCGCACTCCTCTGCCCGCTGCCAGCCGCTCTGGTTATTACAAGTGAGTTAGCACCGTCCCCGCCATTTACATATCAAAGGGATTTTTCGGACAAAGCCAGCCTCTGTCTGCCGCGCCAGTCGCATCCACGGAACCTTTTCCGCCGACTGTGCCGAGGGATGGGGGGGGGGGCAGCTGCTGTAGGGGGGGGCGATGCTGGAGGGGGGGCTATGCTGGAGGGGGGGGGGGGGGTGCTGGAGAGGGGGGGGGGGCGATGCTGAATGTTGCACGTTTTGTTCTGCGTGAGCGAGCCAACGGCCGGCTGGCTTTTGTTTCTCAGCGCAGTCATAAAATTTTTACCGGAATAATCCTTACTTTTTTTTCTGTGCTAGGAGAAAACCCCTTTAGTTGCCCTCCATGCCTTTGGCTTTCCTTGTAAAAAGGAAGAAGAAAAACAGCCACACAGAGAGAGAGAGAGTGTGTGCGTGCCAGCCGTCACTCTGGTTGTTGAAGTGAATAAAGCCGAAGGAATATGAGCGGCCGACTGAATCTGACGGTGCTGGAGACAGACTACTTATGAGATTGCGGCCACTGAATGGCAGGCGTAAAAAAACCGGCACGGTTGGCTAGGAGAAATCATTAAACCGGAGGCCGTGACCCAAAACTGCAGGTGTTTGCCTCCTTGAGTGGGAGGTTTGACAAAAAAAAACAGTTTTGCGTAACCATTATTGGATAAATGTCACCCCACGTAGCGGTGGTATACAAAGGGGGGATGCGAATCAAGCGATGGGTTTAGCAGATCGGCAAGCCACTCTAGCGAACGGGTAGCCACTCTAACAGTCAGTCAGCCACTCTAACAATCAGCCAGCCACCATAACGAACGATTAGCCACTCTAACAGTCAGTCAGCCACTCTAACAATCAGTCAGCCACCATAACGAACGATTAGCCACTCTAACAGTCAGTCAGCCACTATAACAATCAGCCAGCCACTCTAACAATCAGTCAGCCACCATAACGAACGATTAGCCACTCTAACAGTCAGTCAGCCACTATAACAATCAGTCAACCACTCTAACAATCAGTCAGCCACCATAACGAACGATTAGCCACTGTAACAGTCAGTCAGCCACTATAACAATCAGCCAGCCACTCTAACAATCAGTCAACCACTCTAACAGTCAGTCAGCCACTCTAACAATTAGCCAGCCACCATAACGAACGTTTAGCCACTCTAACAATCAGTCAGCCACTATAACGAATGGCCAGCCACTGTAACGGTGGCGACCAGGAGATTGCTATCTGCACTCCGTGTTTGGGACAATGGACAACAGCTCTGTGTCACTTTGACGCCGTGGCAGCTGTTTGTCAGCAGAACCCGCGGTGCGACGCGCACAAGTGGCTCTCTCCCTCCGAGAGAGAGAGCCAGAGAGCGAGTGTCGCACCTCGCAGCAGCCTTGGTGTGAACCACAATTAAAGCGTTAAAGAGGCACATGTCCAGCACACGGCGTGAAGCTCTTAAAGAGAACGGCAGATGTATGGCTGGAATGATGCGGGACCCTTCCTTGGTGCTGGGGGGGAGCGCGAGGTGGCGGTGGAGGCAATTTCAAGAGAATGCGTAGTCCGGTTGTTTTGCTCACACTTGGACATACTTGGTATATTCCCAGTAATCCACACAACCCGTTCGTTGAATGTGCGGCCATTCGATCCTTCATCGTATGGGCAGGTTGACGGCGCTGTCGCTGCGGTGGCCACGGGGTGGGATTATCAGGTCGCCACATCGTGAGAGATGGCGTGGACGGGCCTTCATCATCCAGCAGTGGATGCATCCTGGCCGTTGATCGCGAAATTGTTGGGGTCAAAATAACTTTTTAACGGATATCCGAGACGGAAAGAAGGCAAGATGAAATATAGAACAAGCAGAGCCGCGGATGAGAACAAGGGTTGTCGGCATGGCGAGTGCAGAACAACGCAGCGTGTGTGCTTCATTATTCAGCCACATTCACCCGTTCATCACAGTTTGGGTAATTCAATGTTGTTTTCCTTACGCATGTAACAATTCTAAATAATAGTTTAGTATTCATTATGCGCAAGCGAGCTATACGTAGTCGTCGTGCGAGCGGCGCATTACGGGGGTTACAATGATTTAATTCGCAAGCAGAGCACACACACACATACACACACACACGCGCACACACGCGCACGCACACACACGCGCACACACGCGCACACACGCACACACACCCGCGCACACACACATGCACACACACACGCACACACAGACACGCACACACGCGCACACACATGCACACACACACGCGCACACACATGCACACACACACGCGCACACATGCACACACACGCGCACACACGCACACACACGCGCACACACACCCGCGCACACGCAAACACACACACACAGACTCGCACACACGCACAGACACACACACATGCACACACGCACACACATGCACACACGCACACACACACGCGCGAGCCACGTCCGAATTTGAATGCGAGGGGCCCCGCTCCACGCCGTCGTTTCGCGCCCACGCCCCGCGACGGGATCGTTCGCGGCGGATTAACAACAACAAGACAACGAACCCGTCTCGCAGTGGCAGACATTTTGTAGGAAAGGGCTTCCTGAAAAACGTCGCGGGCCACGGCACGAAAAAAAATCTGTGGCAGAAGAGAATCCCCGCGACTCTTTTTTGGCTTGCACCTGAGCCCTTCCCCCGCCTGCCGTGGCCGATGCCACACCCAGAGAGAGAGAGAATGGGGGGGGGGGGGATGTGCAGTCGAGAAGAGCTCGTCTCGGTTCTCATGCCAAGTGTAGGTGTGTTGAAGGGGGTGGCGGTGGTGACGGCCGTGCAGTTCAGTTGGTAGCCAATTATTTTAAGCGCCTGGCATCTTGCCCACTGGAAGAATGAGGCATCTGACCCCCCCTCCTCCCCTCCCAAATACAAGATGGATGTTGTGGCCTTACTTCCATTTCGGCAGTCACATATTTAGAAATATATTGGAAATTTATATCTGGTTCGGAAAGAAAAAAAAACCAAATCACCTCCAATCGTTTCGTGATTTATCCCGGCGACGTTTTTTTTCAAACTCTGCCAGAGCCTTGAGGTGATGTTTTGTAAAATGCCAAAACACTGCACATTTCAATTATGGGAAATAATGAACCCCCCACTTGCAGCTTAAAATATAGCCTTTAAACATTCAGGGGTACACAATAGCGATTTTCAATACGTTTTTAATGATTGGTTTTTATAAGGGACTCGGGGAGTCTCATAAGCCCATTAAAAAATGACTTCCCTTCTGTGATTAAGGCTCGACACACTGTTCGCTGCAGTGTGTGTGTGTGTGGCACATGCATGCATGCCCGAGGCTTGCGTTTGCTAACATGTGCGTGTGTGTGTGCAAGAGTGCAGCGGCATCCCCATGTGCGAGCGTGTGCGTGTGTGTGAGCGAGCGTGTGTGCGTGTGAGCATGTGCGTGTGTGCGAGCGCATGCGATAGTGTAGTATCGCGCAGCGCTACGAACCTGGCCACCCGAGTTCGATTCCCGCTCACGGCCAACACCGGTGACGATTATCTGAACCGGTCATGGGCCTCCCCTAGGTCGACTCAGCCTCAAATGAGTACCTGGTGCGGAGTGTAAACATCGCCAG